TTTTATTTAAATATTTTAAATTTTAAAAAAAGTAAATTATAAGCAAATTTATAGCAATTTTCCAGGCAAATTTGCCTGGAATTGCTTACAGTTTAAGGGATAATAGTATATTTAAATTTATATTTCTTGAAAATTTAAAAAAAGATACTTAATTTTGAATTTTTTAATTAAAAATTCAAATTAAGCATCTTTTTTTTAAATTTTCAAGAAATATACTATAATTCTAACTTTTTGTTCCAAGTAAACTTTTTTAGTATTCAAAAATATATTTATATTTATTTTTTTTATAAATATATATGTAATAATTGAATTTTTAGCAGATTACTATAAAATTTATATGTTATATTGAATTTTTAGTGAATTTACTTGATTTTAAAAGTAGTGAAAACTCTCAAAATTTATGCAGATCAGTTATGATCTATATAAAAGATGCCCAGGGTTCTATATTTTCTAAAAAAATTTTTTCTTAATAAATTTATGAATAAATTTAACTATAACTAGTAGTGATTATCACCAGGGTACTTATATCTCAAAAAATGTACTAAGTAAACAGGATTAGATTTTTTAAATAAAAATATTCAGAATTTTAAAAACCTTATAAAAACTGAAATCAGGCTCTATTGGGCCCTTATAGTAGCTCTATATTATATTATATAAAAAAATAATAATTTTTTAATTTTTAACTCTAACTCTAAATATATCTAGAAGTGGTAATGATTACTATAGATTATTTTGGTTATATTTCTAAATTTATTAATTTTAAAATAAATTGAAATAAACAAATTTAGAAACTAAAAAAATTTTTACAAATAAAAATTTTTTGAATTTATAATTTTTTAAATTAATATATTTTGGTATACTATACTACATATTATACAGTACAAAGATAAAATCTTATTTATTAAATTAAAATAAAAAAATTATTAAATATAATAAAATAAAAGAATTGCTATTTGTACCATAGTTTATATAAATTTTTTTGATTTTTATCATATAATTATTTCAAAATTTTTAAACTTTGAAGATATCTTGGCAACCAATTGATCAAATTTGATAAAAATTTATTTATTCAAATTTTAAACATTTGTAAAATTTGAATAAAAAATTTTTATCAAATTTGATTAATTGGTTGCTAAGATAACTTTAATTAAAGTTTGATTAAAGTTTTAAAATACATGTTATAAAAGCTGTGTTAAAATTGTTTACAAAACTTTAATCAAAGAAATCTTAGCAACCAATTAATTGAATTTAATAAAATTTTTTTATTTGAATTCTATAGTTCTGTAGAATTTGAATAAAAAAATTTCATCAAATTTGATTAATTGGTTACTAAGATATCTTTAATCAAAGTTTGAATAAAGTTTTAAAACATATATCATAAAAGCTGTATTGAAATTGTTTATAAAACTTTGAAGATATCTTGGCAACCAATTGATCAAATTCAATGAAAATTTTTTTATCCAAATTCTATAGTTCTGTAAAATTTAAGTAAAAAAATTTATTAATTTGATTAATTGATTACTATAATCACAACTCTTTCTGACGATCACCTGGACCAAAATTTCCCACCAAATGAAAAACCAAAATTTGTTGGAGAGGAGAAAACAGCTTATAGAGCGGTTTTTGTAAAGGTCAACCTTTTGATTTCGGAGACTCCTTTGCATATTTGGCATGCAAACCAGAAGCATTAGGAAACAAGATAATTGGCAAAAGTTGGTGCCCTTGCTTCCAAAATTCTGGAAAAAAGATGCTTATAAGAAGTTGGGGCCTTTTTGTTGACGAAGTAACTTATAACGCAAAAGAATAGAATAGAAGGAGAACAACAAATAGGTTTTTCTAACGACACTCCCTAGAAATTTGGAGACTTTTCTTGAAATAACATACATCATGGCTTGGTTCGAAAGGAGCCTTAATGTGAGACATTGGAAAAGTGACCTATTATAGGCACGGCACTTGTCATTTAGAGGTAGTTCTTATATACTACTTGCCGACAAGCTCAGAGTTTATTACTCACTGAAAAAACTTAGTACTATGCAGGCTTGGGTAGACATTTCTTTGGTGTTTCCGCTTGGTTTTTTACCTCTCTTTCGCTTTTGCTGTTTTCTCCAAAATTTTTGAAAAAAAGTGGGCATTTGGGCTCACCTTCTTCAAAAAATCAGCATTGTTTACACCTTTCTAATTCGGACGTACTCAGTAGAATGCAACCATGTGTTTGTTTTGTTTATCAATACAGTGCTATGATATGGGAAGAGAGTGGTACCCTATTTAGGAGATACCCGAATTTCGTCGATACTTGAAATGAGTCCTCTACAATAAGACGACGTTTTACAATCGAGATATATTAATTAGTTGCAATTATTATATAATTTTTATCCTTATACCTGACATGGGCTATAATAGTGTGTCATGGCTACCTTTTTTTTTTTTTGCTTTTTTCATTTTGGTTCATTTATGTTAGACTATTTTAGAATTTGTTAAAAAGTTTTTTTTTCCCACTATAAGGTGTTTTTTTTCTAAAATGTTTATGTCTCTTATAAACATAGCATTATTTTTTTCACTTTTATGTATGAATAAGAGTTTTAATTTTGTTGTCAGGCTTAGGTGGAAAAAGTCTAAAAGAAGGGAGAGGTGGTCATAATAGGCAGTAAATATTATCTGTTGAGAGTCAGATCATATCCAATTGTAGGAGGGGTCCGGAAAGAGAAGAATCCTACTATAGCAGGTCGAACATAGGCACTCATTGAGCAACCAAGTTAGTCTTTACTTGTAATTTAGATATAGTTGTGTAGCCCTCGGACACAGTGCATGTCGTTTAGAGATAGTTCTCATACACTATTTGCTGACATGTTCAGAGTTTATCACTTACCAATAGGTTTCTCTAAAATTTTAATAGTCTAGATGATTATTACAAAGCCTAATAAAGTAAAGGCATAACTGCTGAATTGATTAAAAAAAAAAAAAAAATTGATTACTATAATATCTTTGATCAAAGTTTGAATAAAGTTTTAAACCATGTATTATAAAAAATTGTTTACAAACTTTTTATCAAAGATATCTTAGCAATTAATTGATCAAATTCAATAAAAATTTTTTATCTAAATTTTATAGTTCTGTAAAATTTGAATAAAAAAATTTTCATTAAATTTGATTAATTGATTACTAGGATATCTTTGATTAAATTTGAGTAAAGTTTTAAAATATATGTTATATAAAAGCTGTACTAAAATTATTTATAAACCTTTAATTGAAGATATCTTAGCACCAATCAATCAAATTTGATAAAAATTTTTTTATTCAAATTCTGCAGAACTATAAAATTCAAATAAAAAATTTTTCATCAAATTTAATCAATTGGTTGCCAAAATATCTTTGATAAAAGGGTTGTAAACAAATTTGATACAGCTTTTATATAACATATGGTTTAAAAATTTGATCAAAGATATCACAGTAACTAATTGATCAAATTCGATGAAAATTTTTTTACAGAACTATAGAATTTGAATAAAAAAATTTTCATCAGATACGATTGATTGGTTGCCGAGATATCTTCGATCAAAATATTGTAAACAATTTCGATGCAGCTTTCAAGTAATATACGTTTTAAAACTTTTCTCAAACTTTGATCGAAGATATCTTGGCAACCAATTGATCAAATTCGATGAAAACTTTTTTATTCAAATTCTACAAAACTTTAGGATTCGAATAAAAAACTTTTCATCAAATTTGATTAATTGCTTGCCAAGATAGCCTCGATCAAATTTAAACATTTTAAAATAATTATGTAATAAAATCGATAAGATTTATGATGCAAATAGCAATTCCCTAAAATAATTGCTAAGATATTTAAGTATTAAAGTCAAGAAACCTTTTATTTAAAAAAAATTTGTCTCTTTTTTATTGACTTACTCCTCTAATATTAAACACTATAAAACCATTATACTATTTATTGTGTTTATTAACTGTCAGACTGATGCTAAAATTTAAACTTTTTTAATACGAAATTTTAAAAATCGTTTTTTCTAGATTTTTTTTTATGGTCGATTTCACTGAAATTAACTTATCAATTGTCTATTCACAACCCTGTATCACGTAAATGATATCCATAAAATTTTTTTAATGTCCAAAATTATGCTAAATACAAATAATTTTGGCCAGAATTAAGACGACAATTATTTTAATCTTTAAGCTTCTAAAATCATATTTCATTCGCTAGGAATTCTTGGATTACGAATGCCTCTGGTTTTGTTAGCCACCTGCACTTGGATAGGAAATGTGAGAGATGCGGGAATACATAAAAGGTAAAATGTTGCAGCATAAATCCTGGCTCGTAGAATTGTGGCTTGGGTTAAGGATAAAGCCCTAGGTTAAGAGTCTATTGTATTATGTAATACAATTGTATACACAATTACAATAATTAATAAAGACCACAAGATCAAGAGGTCGCTTATATATATATATATATATAAGAATTCTTGCGCTGCAGTCCATACAATACTTGTCATAATCTTTTAATATACAATTTATTCAATATACAATTCTTAATCCAGTAATCTACAGAACAAAGCCAGAACATAGGAACGAAATTTGTGCCACGTGATTATCTACCGGTGAACGGAATAAATTTAAATTCTAATCCCAAGTCTAGCTAAATCAACATACAGACTTATATAATATATAGAAAAAAAAAAATATGACATAATACTTAGAAATAGAATCATCAAGAAAATCAATTTTTAACTATATATCGACTAACTCAACAAATAAAAAAAATAAAAATAAAAATAGCATTACTGCCTCAAAACCTAACCTAAACTCTAAGCGCCCACGCACTCTCTCCATCCTTTCTCTCAACTTTACAATTTCTTACAATCTCATCATCACATGCTAACCTAATGATTTCAGGTGTTGCGGGTGAACTTAAAGCTACAGTTGCTCCGTTGTTATTAGATTGTCTGTTTTAAGGCAATATATGGAATCAATAAATTTAGAATAACATTCCAAATTAAAGAAAACCGGAATTCAAAAAATACCTTGCAGATTTAATTGCATCCCTAATAGCGAAGAACACCGAACTTCCTAAAAATAATGGAGGTTCGCCTACACCTTTACTACTGTGGATAGTCTTTAGATTAGGATATGTGGCGTCTTTCAATGTGTATATTCTAAAATCTTGTGGTATATCCCTATATGAAACCAATTCAGATATAGATTATTAAAAAACAAGCTAATTAAAAATAAATAAAATAAAATACCTAAATCCGGGTAGTTTATAATTTCCAGGCCCCTTAGTAAATACGTGACCATTTGGAAAATGCAATGTTTCTTCAATAGTACACCACCCCACACCTTGTACAAAAGCACCCTCTATTTGTCCCACATCAATTGCATAGTTTATACTTCTGCCAATGTCCATACACAAGTCTGTTCTCAAAATTGTATGATCGCCTGTTAATACATCAATTTCGACTTCTGTACACGCTGCACCCATCGTAAAATAAAAAAACATTTGTCCTTCATTTTTATCCCAATTATAACCGATATCGGGAGTTTTGTAATATCCATTAGCGGATAAATTTACTCGATCAAAATATGCAGCATGTACGATCTATAGTATTGAACAAAATTTTTACTATTAATATAAAAAAACAAATTGATAAATAATAAAAATTTTAAATTTTGAATACCTCCTTAAAACTTTTATTTGGCATTTTTTCTCGATACGGTTTTAGTCTTTCAGACAAAGTTTTACAAGCATTTGATACAGCATATCCGTTAATATCGCTACTAACACTAGCAGCTGTTGCTGAAGTATTGCCGACCAAATTTGTGGCAGTTTCCATTAAATGGACTATTTATATAATGAAATAATATTGAAATTATATATTATCAATTTATAGAATAAAGTGCAAATATTAAATTATGCATACCAGTTTCCAAAGGAACATCCAAAGTTTCAGCAGCAATCTGCAACATCTTGGTGTGAAGACCTTGTCCCATCTCAACTCCACCTATATTAAAAAAATTAGCAACATTCATATTTAAAAACTTTCAAAAGTTCCAAGAAAAAATAGTAAATACCATGACTTATAAGAACACTTCCATCGTGGTAAATATGTACCAAAGCTCCTGCTTGGTTTAAATGCAATGCTGTATACGAGATTCCAAATTTGGTTGGTATCAATGCTAAACCTCTTTTACGCCATTTATGCTCAGAATTAAATTTATCAATTTCTTCTCTTCGTTTTTCAAATTCACTATCATTTTTAATTTGACGATAAATTAAAGGTACATGCCAGTCTTTAAGTGTCTGGTTGAAATGTGTTTGTTGACCTTCAACGTATAAGTTCTTTTCCTATTCGAAAAAAAGAATTTATTAAATCAATGTAAATTAAAAAAATTTTTATTACAAATTACATACCCTAAAATCATTAGCGTCAATGCCCATACGATCTGCAATCTCACTCATCATATTTTCTGTAATCATCATTCCTTGAGGACCTCCAAATCCTCTAAAGGCTGTGTTTGAATGAATGTTGGTCTTGCAAAGATGTCCGATTATTCGTACATTTGGTACATAATAACAGTTGTCTACATGTGTCATGCTACGCTCAAGTACAGCTGCAGAAAGGTCTGCTGACCAACCACCATTATTATAAATCTGTAAATAAAATAATACTTACTTATAGTGACAAAAAAAAAAGGTTGAAAGAAATGTCTAAATAATCATATTTTTACCTGTACGTCCATTGCTAATAATTTTCCATCCTTAGTCACCCCAGCTTTCCATTGCCCTAAGAAAGGATGCCTTTGTCCTGATATGATTATATCTTCATCACGATCTAGCATACATCTAATAGGTTTTTTAAGATGCCATGCGCCAACTGCTAGTGCTAGTGATAAAGGAATACTCCTTGTTTCCTTTCCACCAAAACCTCCACCAAGCCTTTTTACTCGGCACACAATTCTATTAGCATCAATACCAAGTACTGAGGCAACTATAATTTGTGTCTCAGTAGGATTTTGAGTTGATGCGTGAATTTCAAATTCCTTGTCTTCGAGTTTTGGAATTATTAACGTAGCTTGGGTCTCCAAGTAGAAATGTTCTAAGACAATTTAAATAAAGCTTAGTGCATGGTACGAAAGTACTTGGGTTAGTATAATAAATAATAAATTCAAAAAAAAAACCACACACACCTTGACCACCAATTCTTGTTTCACCTGCATAAAAAATAAGTTAATAATCTTAAGAAAATTTTTAATGAAGTAGATAACATTTAACACACACCATACCTTCAAAGACAAAATCAGCCTCTTCCAGACCTTTTTCTATGTCCCCTTTTACAATACGTCTATTCACCGGGAAATAGCTGTTGTTTTCAATCGCCTCTTCAATAGATAAAATATGAGGCAACTCTGAATATTGTACTTTCACCAATCCCACTGCTTCTTGTGCAATTTCTTGTGTTTCAGCAACTATTAAACCGATAATTTGTCCTGTATAATAATGCATAATGCATCTGTTAATTATAAATTGACCTCAAATAAAACGAAAAATTTTATAGTCAACTCTTTACTTGTAAGGCCACTCCAATTTAATTCTTTGTTTAACATAACCCCACCCTAATTTTTAAAATTTTACATATAAAAAAACATGCTATTATCCAATCAAATTGCAGCATTAGTTTTTTTAAATTTTTTTACAGCCAATAGAATTGCAGTTTTTTTTTTTTTTTTATCTCCCCTTCTATAAAATATTTTGTTATGTTAAACAAAAAATCCGCTTGGAGTGGCCTAAGTACAATTTGTTAACTAAATAAACTGTTAGAATCCTTAGTATCTTAAAACATCGAAGCTTAGATGTACCGAAAATTGATTGTAAAATTGATTGTTATAATTTAAAAATATTAAATAACTTGCCTACACAATTAACCTCTTCACTAGCGAAAACCTCTTCATCATGTGATACAGGCCCCCAAATATTACTTCCTGGCACATCCTTTGCTGAAAAGAAACCTTTTACACCAGGTTGAGCTAATGCTTCAGTTGCATCGATTCTATTAACAATACATTAATAAGTTTAAGCAAAACAATCGTATTCATGGTTTTATTATAAAACTAATTACCCTAAAATTTTTGCGTGAGCCTTTTGTGACAAAACCAACGCTCCATATAATTCGCCTTGAATCTTGGGTATATCATCTGTATACATCGCTTCACCAGTAACCTGCTTCATAGCTGATACATGAGGAATTTGTTTGCCAACAATTGTTTTGTCTTTTCTATTAAATAGAGAAATTAAAAATTCCTATTAATTAATATATTCACATAACACTAATATTGAAAACACTAGATAGAAACAATAAAAATGCTTACTCGGCTTGTCCAACAATTTGAACACCTTTTGAAATGTTACGTTCAATTATTCCAACAAAATTTTCAATATTGTCATCACAATCATCCACTATTATATTAGCAGATTTTGAAACATCGTACCAAAACTTGTACATAAATCCTACAACTAACGATTTACGATACGTTGCCATGCCACCAGGTGTGGAAAATTTCATTTGAAATTCCTATTGTATCCAATCAAAGAACTTAGTTATAAATATAAATTACAATATTTAAGTTAGGGATGTTATGTGGTCCGGTCTTAGACTAATAGACCACAGTTAGTCTTAAGACCGGTTTGGACCTAAAAAAAGTTGGTCTGCTCTAAGTCTTAAGACTGGACCGGACTGTTAACATCCCTAATTTAAGTATTAAAAAAGGACTATTCACCTCACACAACTTTTCAAGAAGACCTTTTAACACATTTTGGTCACCCCACTTTTTGCCCAAAACAAAACGCTCTGATTCGGGTGCTCTAACAGTAACCCAACTCATTCCTCCAAAAGCAAATGCAGCCTCTTTAACTTGATTATTGTCATCCAATAACACTGACAACCCGGCATTTACGATAGCAATATCATCGTCACGTCTCTTAGCCTGTTTGTAAGCTCTATTATATTGTCCTTGTCTTGAACAGGGAATAAATATTTTTTCTAAAATTTCCGTTTCTTCACAGCAATTTTGCCTATATCCTGTCCAAAATGATTCAGACGGAATAACTCGATCTGTTGCTACCATGGATGATGGTTCTAAAGAAGAAAGGGAGAATAGCGTTTTTGATGAAAGGAAAATAGGATTTAAATCTGAAATCGGAGAACCAGTGACAATGTTTCCTGCCGGCGTGGCTACGTTACGGATTTGATTGCCAGCAAACCAACGAAGATTTTCCAAAAGCGACTTAAATATTTGTGTTTGATGAGGCTTTAAAAATTAAGTGAGTAATCTTAGCATGATAATTTACTACTTAATGAAATAAAACTAATCAAAACTTTGTATTAAAAAAAAATTTTCCAAACCTCATAATGTCCGAGCGCATCTTGTAAAATTTCTTGAAATTTCGAAAGACTTACATTTGCACCAATCAATAATCCATCATCTGATCAAATATCCAACTGTGAATAAAAAAACTTTACGCAAAGTAATACTATAACAATTGAATAAAAATTTTACCCTTAAATTCACAAGTTTTCAATTCTGGTATATCTCCCACAAATATTTGTACATTGTATCTTAATTTCTTGAACTTTGTCTCTATTCCAACTTCAGTGTTACCAGATACCAATTTTGCATATGGATACTTTGATTTTAGGCATAATAGTTGGCTCAAGTTAACAGGTCTGAACCATTTTGATTTTCTACCAGAAAAGTAAAGAGGTTCGAGAATGTATTTCATAAGTGATGGTGGAAATATTAATTCTTGAGTCACGTCATATATTTTAAATTTTATCTTAAATGATTATGAATTGACATAATTAATAAAACTATATATCAGAATTATAAATAATTAATAAATACACGTACTTGTGGGAACTTGAGATCTAAAGCAACATCATTTTCGATATTTTTCAATTTACAACAATCGGCGCGACCACATCCTAAATTCTATATAACAAATCATCAATTCAAGAGACATAATATACGTTTTTTATATTTAACTCATATTCTTTTATACCTCCGAAGCTTCACAGTCCTTAGACGGATTAGCAAACTATCAGAAAAGATAGAAACATTAATATATAGGAGTTCCTAGTTAAAATAACAGATTAATAAGAAAAAAAAATAATTTACCGTTTTTGCTGCATCTAAAATAGGGCGATATCCTGTACATCTGCATAAATTACCTAAAAGAAAATAATAAGTTGTTATATAAACAATTTTGATGAACAAATTAGAGGGATGTTAACAGTCCGGTCTGGTTCAATCTAGTCAATTTTGGTCCAAGTCTAGTTTGGTCTATTATGGTCTTCAGTCTTAAGACATTGCTAATCTAGATCGGTCCAGACCAGTCCAGTCTTAAGGCTTAGAGCAGACCAATTTTTTTTTAGGTCCAGACCGGTCTTAAGTAGGGATGTTAATCGGTCCTTTAGGATCGAGTCCTGTCCGATCCTTCAAGGATCAGTAGGGATTCGATCCTTAAATCACATGAAAACATAATACATTTTATAAGACTCAGATCCTGAATTGAATTATTATAACAATACAAAATTAATTTGATTGGATGGACTTATTCGATGGATTCAATGATACAGAATCTAAGTCCTATAAAATGTATTATGTTTTCATGTGATTTAAGGACCGAATCCAGGACCGTCTTTTTAGATCCTAAGATCGGACCGGACTGGAGTCGCAATTTTACATCCCAAGTCTTAAGACTAACTATGGTCTATTAGTCTAAGGCCGATTACGTAACATCCCTAAATGTAGTTGTAAATACCATCAAAACACTCTTCAATTTCTTTCTCAGATGGATTAGGATTATTTCGCAGCAAAGAATAAAGTGACATTGCTATCCCTGGGGTACAAAACCCACACTGAGAACTAAAATTAATATTTTTTCAGTTTTACGTTAGATCAAATAGATTATTTAGAACAGTTACAATAGAAAATTGAAATTAATTACCCATGCAACAAAGCTATTCGTTCCTAATAATTTATTTTGTTAATAATAATGTTAGATCCCAAGTATAATTCGATATGATAATATATATGAGACGAATACCTGAACAGGATGAGGATTTTCAACGTCACCAATTCCTTCAATTGTAATAACATGTTTTCCATCAACGGAACATAATGGCGCCAAACAAGCGTTAACTGAACAATGTGTAATTTTATCGGAACTTTTGTCATAGGAAGATATCATTACAGTACAAGCACCTATTTTAATAATATTTTTAATTAATTATAATTGAATTTAAAATTGTAGGACGCAGTAAAGAACTTTTAACGTACCGCAACCACCCTCCGCACACCCTAATTTTGTTCTAATAAACATTTCTATTAATTAACAATATAGAGCTTTATAGCAATACATTTAAACTTAACATACCCAGTCAGTCCAACAGAACGAACATACTGGAGTAAGGTAGTGTCAGGTTCGGGATTATTAATCTCAACACTTGTACCGTTAAGATAAAAGTGAAGTTTAGTTTTACACTTCAAATCCGACCCGTTCTCAACTATGAACTCATTCGCACCATCTACCAAATGACCATTTGACTCAATTAATGTTGACTTATGTTCTTTCATGGTTTATGTACTCATAAAAGGTGAAGTTGTCACTTACCATACTGCAGGAAAATGGCGCCCCTTTTATAAATACTTAAAAATTAATTGTGGTTATCTTACTGGAAGAACCCGAACAATTATCGTTATTTTTGATCTTTACATGAATGGTCTGTGCGTCACACGTGGTGATAACAGAATATCGGAATTACTGGATTGGTCAATTATTCTGTACACCCAATAGATAAGTCATTTCTTTAAAATTATCCAAACGCAGTTTTTATCGTTATTTATCGTTAGCGTTAGTGCAGATATGCATTGAGATCTGAGAAACTACAGAACTAGCGATGTTGCTCAAACTACTTGGGACGTCCATTATAACATAGATTCGATAATAAATAACCAATGTGATACTAGTCATCGCATGGTTTGGAATGTCCCAAGTATTTTAATTGGCTGAACCTAATGATTGATCCCAAAAGGATTTTAGCTTATTAATGGTCTGTTATTTCATATTATCGCTATTATTTTTTTATCAGGATTTTTTTAGATTACCTATTCATTGATCACAAGGTAATTTTATCTAACTATATTTATATAATTGCCCGGATCTTGTCGGCTACTTCCTTGTATACACATTGTTACTAATTTTTTCTTCAATTTTATCATATCAGTATACTTCTGTATATACTTCAAAAGTTGCTGTTATATGAAATACAATAATTTAAGCTTAATTAGAATCTTTATTAATTTTTATATTTTAATATATATTTGATAATTTTTTGTATGATTATCGTTTACGTATTTAATTTTTTAACTGATGCTTGGATACATAATATTTTTGATTTTTACGTATTATATATTTTATTATATTTTTATTTTTAATAACTATTGATGTTTTTAATCAAATTTGTTATATTTTAAAAAATATAGTATTTGGAATTTTAATAAACAAAAAATATTAAAATACAGTATGATAGTAATATAAATATCATCAGGAAAATTTTTTAGTGCAGTTCTATGCAGATTTGCAAAAAATAAAACAAATGAAAAAAATTGAATTCAATTCTGTACAAAATTTCAAACTTTAAAAATTTTTGCAGATTTTTTATAACAAATTCTGCAAAAATCTGCAAAAATACAAATTTATACTTATTTAATTTTTCTAATAAACAAAATATAATTATTATTATAATAATATCATATATGAAATTAATTAATTTAACCAAATTTAAAATAATTTAAACTTAGCAGTTAGAGTTTAAATTAGTTTAAAATAGATAGTTTTATATAAAATGTTGTTATATTAATAATATATTATATTTTACTAATATAATAACTTATTGTAATAGTAAAAGTGTTACTCCAAACAACTTGTAACAAAGATATAGAGTTTGAATTCTACTAGAGATTCTTTTAGAAAATATACAATACTTGCATTATAATAATGAACACATGTCGAATGAAGGCAAATCGGGCTCCAACCGACATAACGTAATCCCGATATGAACCTTATTTGAAACAGATATTTGGCGGAAATAGGAGACCTTTAGGATACTAATCGGGTTCATGTAGGCGTTCAATACATATCGGGATGCCGATAGCTCATTTGGTAAATCGACAATGCTTGCCTAATGGCTTTATCGATTTACCTATAGAGCAATCGGCATCCCGATATGTATTGAACGCCTATATGAGCCGATTAGTATCCTAAAGGTCTCCTATTTCCGCCAAATATCTGGTTCAAATAAGGTTCATATCGGGATTACGTTATGCCGGTTGGAGCCCGATTTGCCCTTGTGGAACTTCATTAATTAGTAACTATTATTAGTAACTTTAGTGATACCAGTAAAAATACTGCTAACCTCGATATAATCACCACAGGAATTTGGTAATTATAAAAAGTTGTGACTATATAAAGGTCAAATTTTACAGTATATATATGTTGTATAATAGCTATATAGAATTAAAAATAATGTGATTATATTAAGGATACGACTATATTAAGAGTGACTATAACGAGATCTGACTGTATATAACATAGTATTATTAAAATCTCAAAGGCTACCTATTATAGATTGCTCATTCCAATAATCTCTGCTTGAACAGGTAAGCAATTTGACAAATAATGGTGGTTTATACTATTATAATTCTTTCGTCAAATTATAGTAGAGCATCTAATAGTGTTGGTGGAGCATGAAAAGAAAGCCGATGGGCTTGTATATATTGAGTGTCCCACTATTGCCTATGCTAATATTGTATAAAAATAGATAATGTGGTAAAGTTATAGAGAGGAAATAAATTATGTTAGTACATCATTCAAACCAGCTAACAACCGACTTGGAATTGTAGAAATTCAAGTTGCTGGTAAGGTTATGTATTTAAATGTCCTTGTGTTGAATAATGCAGAAATATCTCAGTATTTCCATCGATCAAGCAAAGATACCACTAGAGATGGGCAAAATACAAAATTTTCATTTTAGCATGCATGTATATTTCGGCCAAGATTATGGGTTAACTTTTTAATGCTGTCCAGGTTTAATTGCATGTTTTGCATACCATGCATGCAATTGCCCATCTCTAGATACCACCATCATCAGCAGTAGGCCTCCGCATGGGCCTGGGCTACCCATGGGTACCCGCGAGTAGGCTCACAAGGGCCGGGCTAGGTATCAAATTCCAAGCCCTAGGGTAAGGGTAAGGGCTCGAAAAATTGGGCCTTTACACAAATGGGTAGGGCTTGGGTAGTACCACTACTTGGATCCCGGTACCCGTTATTTATGATTCATATGAATTTCAGTTCATATGATTGGCTTATTTATATCGATTTATACTGATACAAGAATAAACACATACGTACGTACATATGTACAGTACGTAGCTGTGAAAGCAAATATTTAATTTTTATGAACTTTATCATTTAATTTTTTTTATTTGAATAATTTAACGCGTGAGTAGAAAGAACGTTACTCTTTTTTTAATCGCATCAATTTGGCATGTAATATAAAGAGCATTAATTAATATTAGTATTTTAAATAAGCATTCAATTTCATGTATACCGTATTAGCTATTTAATTGTATTTATTTTTTTGTCAAAACAACATGTGTATAAAGTATATTAATCTATATAGGTATTATATTCAAGATAAGCTACTTAATAACGTGAATATTATCATTTATAATTTTATTTTAGATCATGAGTGTAAAGAACAATTATTAAGTATTTAAAGTAAGTCATTTATTAATTTTAATGAAAATTACTATCTAATTTATTTTATTCGCGCAATATAATCTTTAAATATAATGAAAACATTTATTAATTTAAGTATCTAAATAAACCGATAAATCTATTTATTCGCATTAATTAGTGAACTAAAAAAATGAATAAAAATATAAAATCCTATAATTATAGGAAATGTATGCATTGTAACAAAGATAAAGTATGGTGATTTTATGTAATCTAGACAATATCAATTCAAGAATGGATAGGTAGATGATTAGATGAAAGGATCTCGACTTATAATTATGAGCTGAACACATACTAATTTAAAAACTGGTAATGGAGGGTTTTTATTTTGGTTGAACGAGCATTATACTAAATCTGAGCTGACGAAAATCAGCCAATCGTATGAATTAAATAACTGGGCAACCAGTCACCCTGCAGACTATGAATTTAAAACTCGTTCTATTTTAGCTGGTCTAATTTGGACAGTCTTCCTATTAATAATAATTAGCCCATGGGTACCGCGGGCCGGGCTAGGGCATCAAGTTTTGAGCACTAGGGTAAGGGCTCAGAAGTCAAGCCCTTATACAGACGGGTAGGGCTAAGGTAGTACCATTACCCGGCCGGTCCATGCGGAGGTCTAATCAGCAGTGTCTCTAGTGGTATCAAATTTCTTTCCAATTTTCGATTTCTTGCTCTGTCTGCCTAATCAAAATTCAAATAGAGACAAACAAGAACCAGAAAGGTAATGATATGATCCCTTCTTTGCATGAAGGTAAAAGGTTAATAGTAGACTTCCAGAATGTATCCACTTAAATTTGTCATCTTGTAATTTAGTTTATTTTTCATATCAATAATGCTGGCCCTGATAGCTCGATTATATAATATAATTATCAGTTTACTTTTTGCATACATATTTCTGGAATTATTAAATACTGTAAAGATAAAATTAGAAACACTTATTTATAATACAGTATATACTAGAGTTGCAGGTGAAACTAATTAATTTCACCTGGTGAAACTGGTAAAACTAGTGCACCGATGGTGCACCTTAATAGCCAAATTGGTGAAACTGGTGAATGGTGTTATTGGTAATGTTGGTGAAACTGGTGGTGTTGGTGAAACTGGTGGTGTTGGCGAAACTGGTGGTATTGGTGAAACTAGTGACATTAGTGAAATTGGTGATATTGGTGGCAATATTAGTAATATTACTAGTTTTACTAATATCACAGTTTCACAAATATTATCAGTAGCGTTTCTATGAACCTGAACTAAATCGAACTTAGGTTCAGTTCAACTTTTGAACTTAACCTAAACCAAACTACAGTACCGGTCAATAAAACGTATCCACTCTTTATTAGTAGAAACTTTAAATTGTTATACTTTCTTAAAACAAGATAAATCAAAAACCCTCTGACAATTGATAGATCTTAGCTAAGTTACATTTCTGTCAGAGGATTGTTTGTTTTAAGAAAGCTATAAGGAGTCAACATTTTATTGGTTTAAAAAATTGGTGTTTAATATAAAAAAAATGAAGATATAGACTTATTTAACCAATCAGAATAAATTATGCCAAATTAGCTAATCAAAATCGATTATGTAAGCACCAAAAATTGGCGCTTTATAGTATAGGTTGGATGTCTTTTGCTGTCTCATCAGCAAAAATAAATAGGCGTAAACCTCCGCAAGTTTTTATGCGAGCGTAAACTTACGAAAATTTACGATTAGTTCGGAGTATTACGTAGGTGTAATAATTACGAAAGTTTACGCTAT